TGTGTGTGTGTGTGTGTGTTTGATGATATATTCACAATTGTATTCTAAATAACATTAGAATTTGAACATATGATGCAACATATAGAAATGTTAACACAAATATTTATGTATATACAAAAAGATATACTCACAAGTAACTCTTTTCCAGATTCGTAATCAGCACGCAGCTGTGTTCCCAAATCACCATCAGGTATCTTGAGATCTTCGCGCAGTTCTCCATTATCAGCCATCAGACAGAGATAGCCATCGTCAGATATATCTGTAAGCTGTCACAAAACAATTACAATGTTTCTCACATTTTCACAGAAACATATTTATGTCACAGTCTCAAATTTTAAAGTAGAATTTACTAATTCATTCTTCTTTGTAATATTGACAGTAAAGTTTAAATAATTAAGGTTATAAAATATGAATAACAATAAAATACATTTATAAATATAAAAATAAAAGGATAAACATTTTTTTAATAGCCTAAAGAATAAACAGATTAAAAGTATAAAACAATTTTATATAAATTATGTTTAATCCGCTACATGCAAGAAATTACGAAAAAACATTTACCTGGTAATCTTCCCGCTTAACAAACGGCACATCCATATTGTGTGTGGAAGGGCAGATATCCTCATACTTCTTAGAGGTGAATATGTCGATACCTACTAAGTGAACCTTGGCATGACCATGCTTGCCAGTCTTAGAAGTCGACATTTCTACAATCTTACACGGACGTGATTTCAACATGACAAAACCATTTTTGCGCAATGCTGAGCACTGTTGAGGGTATGTCACGGAGGCGCCTGAATCTCCAGTCTCAAAATGAGTATCCTCGATATCTGCCATTGTTGTTTGATGGATATCTGTGTGGAGCACAAAATAGGTATAAATTTGAAATTCAAAGTCAGAATAAAAGCCTTATTTATTTTAGCTGAATTTCATTTTTCTCTTTTTTCCTTTCCTCTGTTAAGAAAAGAAAAAAGTACAATGCAAGAAATTCAGATAAAAAGAATCAGTTTATTGTTAAGAATCAATTCTTCTCATAAGATCCATTCCTTGTCGCTGCTTTAAACTATGGAAATTTCGATCTTACTTCCACCAAATATTCACATACATATTTAATTCTTTGCTACAAACCTGATTAAATCCTAATTTGCGGAATAAGTTTCTATTTATAAAAATTTCTAGAAATTTTAAAGAAGGATAATTATATTGTAGTAAATTGTATTTTCACTCAAAATAAAATACAGATATTTCTAGAATATGTGAATTTTCAGAGATATGTTAAATCACTTTAAATACATAAAAAAAAATAATTGGATGCAAGTTAATAATTAGATGCAGTTTTGTATAGATAAGGTACTGATTTTGACATTAGATTGTAAGAAATAGATAAATAAATTATGGATATACTCGTTATACTTAAAATAAAATATATATATATGCATATAACAAGTGTACTAATAAAGCATAGGCCTCCAAGAAACTTAGCCTTAGACATCCAAAAGACATCTCTATGTCTTAAGGATATTCCTCGGAGTGCTACGTTGGGATAAGTTCAGCCACAAAGAATAGATTATATATAATATAATCTATAGATTAATCTCTTTTGAAAAACAAGAAAACTAATGGTACAATGGCACAGTGATAACGATTTTACGACTTTTTTGCTCGAGTGTCCTGTTAATGACACTGACGAGGCTATTTTGAACAAAATAATTTTGCAATTGTATTTACGCGGTCTAGATCGTAGAAATTGATGAGCGTCAAAAACGAAATATCGACGACAGTAGGAAAAAAAACGACCGAAGAAATTACACGGATGCAACAGTTCTCGCCTGTACAAAATATCTACACATTATACGTACACTAAACTCGGATCGAGTTTCTACCGGTTATAATGCGAACGTGAGTCACCAAAACTCGGGCTATCGGCAACGTGGTTACACCCGGACGAACAGGGTGACCACGTGGCGCGTCGTCGCAGGGAGTTCGCGCACAGTGAAAGGTCGGAGACGGACGGTGAGGCGCGACTAACCAAAGATCTCTCGCGCAACCAAGCACGAAGAAATTCGCGATCTTCGCGGCGTAGGTGAGTGAATTTGACGTGAGTTACGTTTGCCGGGGTGTGTCGCGACGCTGCCGGGGCACCGTCGGTTGTCGCGCACAGCGTATTTCGAGCGATAGGTGGATGAAGCGGGTACGAACTGAATGGACCTGAGAGCGAGCGGATCACATTTGCTAACGGGGACCGCGTTATCGTCGCGGCGCGTTACGTCGCGGCCGTACGAACATAAGCCGGCCCGACATTTACCCACGTATTTTTAATGATCCGCTGCTCGTTCGGGCAATTAGCACCATCAGTTGAAGCCGAAAGCGAGAACAGCTCGAGATACTCACATGTGATCAAAATGGATACTCTAACCAGAAGGTCGTGTTGCGCCGGCGCGCCACAGGATCGTAATAGGGGTTCACAACATCGACTGCACGGATGCTGTCGCGAGTCGCGAACGCGGCCGCAGCGCCACTGCGAGCGCCATCTTGCGGCCGCTATCGTGATTTTGCGTTTGAAATAGCGCGATTTTTAATGTTGCAGAAAAAGCAGCTTTCTAACTATTGTAAAATTTTTTTATATATTTGATTTATACATCTAGATCCAGTTCTTATCCAATCGTACCAATTATCATATCAATATATTAAAGAATTTTACAAGTTGCAAAGCTGCTTTTTCTGTTGAATGCAGCCATTTGTTGTACGATAAGTTTTTCGAATGTATTAATTGATTGCAGAAAAGAGAAGTTTTGAAGTCTCCAGAAATTCTCTATTCTGTAGCCAATCAACATACTTGAAATATTTATTGTACAAATGAAATGTTATCTTATGCCTATACAGCACAGAATTTGCAGCAATATCGCTCATTCGCAGCAAAATCTCTGCAATATTGCAGTAGTGTTGCTGCAACTTTTGTGCAATTATGTGCTGTAGGAATGGCTTCCATATACGCGCGTATGCATAATTACAATAACTTGGGCAAACTTGCATTAACTATCAATCGATGATTAACTTTGCAAGTATTATTTTAATATTATGAATAGAATTGTAAATTTTGCTTTTTAATTATTATAATCCATACAGCATAGAATTTGCAGTAATATCGCAGCAATATCTCTGCAATATACAATGTTGCTGCAACTTCTGTGTAACTTTGTACTGTAGTGGAATGTTTGTTTATAAGAAGAAAAATTTGATAATGAAATTATATGGATTTAATTAGAAAATTTGTTTTATAACTTAAAATTACAATTATACTCGGTGATTAATTTTTCAAGTCTGTACTACTATACTATAATATTATCATGAAAAGAATATAAATTTTGTTGTTTTTTAATTATTATAATTTTTGTATTTTATATGGGAAAAAATTTTACAGATTGAAGATAACGTATGATTTAATTAGAAAATTTGCAATTTTGCTAGTCAAATTAATCGTTTTGAATCGATTTAATCCAATTTCGATTACTTTAATTGATAATTAATTAATCGAACTGACAAAGTTACGCTTTATCAAAAGAAATTTCTAACTATATAATTCATTGTATCTAAAACTATGTATTTCTTATCTACATTATTTCTTATCTAATTATTTTTTAATAATTTTTCTAAAAAAATTATTAATTCTATATCCGTATTAATAAAATATTGTAATATTTCTATAGAAATTGCCTGATAAATTAATCATATAATTATGGTCGTGGTCCGATTTATGCTGACAACGCATAAGCATCATTTGTCTTCGTTTAAAATTTGACAACAAAATTAAATAATTTTTAAGCGTTGTGAATCGGATTGCGCAGACTCCCGAATAATTAGTTTAATTCGTATCTTCTTTTTTTTCCAATATCGGCATATCTCAAAAGTCAAAATTCATCGTGAAAAACGTTTCGTATTTTTCTCTCATCGCGAGTATATATTTCATACAACGATGAGTATTTTTTAATTGCAGTTTAATTGTAATCTCGAATAATAACTCGAATTACGCTTTTAGAAAATCGATGAAATCACTTTGGAATTTTTACGAGAACGCATATTCCGCGATATTGACCAGCTTAGTGAGATCCGGTGGCCACTCACGATGCTCTATGGTGGAGCAGTGCGCCATGTTTGCACTTCCGGTGACGGCCATTTCGTACGACGCTCGGTGTACACTTGGATATACCATTTAACGAATTCGTAGGATTGCCTGTCCGAAGGTGAGCGAGGACCGGCTTTTGGTAATGATGAAGACGGAAGAGTAAGTATAATGTCCCGTGCACATAATGTCTTTCTGCGAATTAGTCGCGTAATGTGGGGTTTTACATCATTAACCGTCCATTTGACTATCGCGGAGTCATCGTGGCATGCATCGATATGAAATGCGGAATTTCTTGTTACTCTGATCTCGCGGTGATTGTAATGAGAGGAAAGGCGTAATTCAATAAATATCTTTTGATACTTTTCAGCGTTGCAATCGTGCAAGCGTATGGCTGTAAATATATCGAAAATTTCAGCCTAGCTCTTAACCTTTCGTTCATATATTCTCTTAGCGTCGAGATACTACCATGTCTCCTGATGTCTCTTTCTATATGATTTATTTCTTTTTTTTTATATTTACATCTATAATGTAGTTTACACTTAATTAGAGGTAACTGAGTGTGGCTACTAGCGATTTTATTAAAACGGGAAAGAAAGAGAGAGATATATTTATATACTTTCTCCTTGCAATATATATCTATATAATCTCATTCTAACTTATATCTCACTATTTCTCTAAAATGGATGCTTTGCAATTGGTGATAGTGTTGTTCTGTCTTTGTTATTTACTGAATTTTAAGAAAGATTCAATAATGTTTGTATCACTAAATAGAAATCATCCAATTGTAAGATATAGTAAATTAAAGTGAGATAGTATACATTGAACCTGTCTAATTTCAGTTCTGGAACCAAAACACAAAGCCATTGATGCAAAAAAATTTAGTGTAAGATTTCAGGGATTGTAAAGTATTGATACGCTTGATTGCTTAGTCGTATATCGACGTTTTATAGTGTAGAAAATCTTATGATTTTTTTGCAATTATATGATTTTTTGTATCGATGGCTTTGTGTTTTGGCTCCGAAGCTGAAATTGGATAAGCCTGATATAAAAAGTGTACATACAAGAAGTACATATACCTTTCTCTCTTATAGTCCTGTTTTTACAGTATATAATTACCTAGGTTGTGTTCCATTTAATGCTCACAATATTTGTAGAATTATTTCATCCTTCTGATTTATCAAATGTTAAACAAGGACAAATGATGCTCGTTAGTATTGTGAGTGTTAAGTGGAATGCAGTTTTTTCTAGTTCTAAGAATTAGGAAAAGATAAAGAGTAAATTGATCTGAGATTAAATTTAATCTAAATTGATAGAAATGGGAATTAATGTATTATGTTAATATCGCAGCTCCGTATATGTATAATATATTATTTTGCACATGTAATTACAGTAATCAGGCACAAAACAATGATGACAGGGATAGAAGTAGAGAGCGCGACCGTAATCGAAGGTCAGACAGACCAAACCGCATAAACTCGGCCAGTCGCGATCGTAGTAGAGACAGAAACGATCGCAGCAGAAAAGCTTCTGAACGACGAATTTATGTTTCAAATATTCCTTATGATTTTCGTTGGCAAGATCTTAAGGATTTATTTAGAACCGAAGTTGGCAAGGTAGCACATGTGGAACTCTTTACGGATGAGAATGATAAGCCTAGAGGATGTGGGATAGTGGAGTTCGAAGATTCAGACTCGGTAAAGATAGCAGTGGAAAAGATGCACCGATATGACATCAAAGGCAGGAAACTTGTTGTTAAAGAAGTAAGTATAGAAATTTTCTATTTGCACGCACAGCTTTAGATATAATTTTAATAGATCTTATTTGTGCATTATATGTATAGTCTCGCAAGAAATAATGAAAATTTATATTTTTCGTATAAAAATCAATGCTACATACATATGAAATAATTTAATATTTATATTTAGCAATACAATTTTAAATGAATGTTTTTTTTATCTTAATTCTTTTTAAAAACACTTCTTTTGAATTAATTTTTGATCTAGATTCTATCTAAATCGCCACTAAACTTTTTCTAGTACAGCATAGAAAAATTTAATTTGTTTATTTTGTTAAAAAATACATGTAATACAATAATTTAACAAAAGATTAATTTTAAAGATTATTTATATTATTTTGATGAATTATATTTATTTTGCAGGATTTTGATGTAGAACGTGACAAATACGGCCGTTTAGCAACAGGCCGTAACAATGATAGAAATCGTGATGATAGATTCAGAGATCCTCCAAGACCGCAAGGAGGCGGAAGACAAAATATGTCTGCACCTAGCGGTGGCGGAGGCGGTGGCGGCGGTGGCGGTGGTGGCGGCGGTGGTGGCGGTGGCGGCGGTGGCGGAGGTGGAGACAATAAATTTGGAAACACCTACGGTCTTAGTACACAATTTTTAGAATCTTTAGGCATCAATGGTCCTTTGGTCACAAGAGTCTTTGTCGCTAACGTTAGTATGACGCGGCTATATTTTTAAAAAGTATGCATCATCGGAGAATTACAATCTATCTATTTATTCAGCTGGACTACAAAGTTGACGAGAAGAAGCTACTTGAAGTTTTCAAATTGGCTGGAAAAGTGTTGCATGTTGAATTGGGAAAAGACAAGGATGGTAAATCAAGGGGTTTTGGAGTCGTTGAATATGATCATCCGGTAGAATCGGTACAAGCCATTTCGATGCTTCACAATCAACAGTTGTACGATAGACGTATGACTGTTAGACTTGACAGAGCTAATGAACCTGATATGCCGCCTAAATTACCAGAAGGTACTTACATTATTCAGTTCGCGACAGACATGCTTGATTTATAAATCAAATTTACTTTTGTAAATCAGGTTTGAAGGGTATCGGCATGGGACTTGGAGCCGGTGGTAACAGATTGTTAGATGTTGCTAGAAATATTCCTAATGTGCAAGCAAACAATCCACCAGTGGTAAATCCAATCTCAGCGCCTGTCTTAGCTGCGGGCGCTTTCGGCGCCGGTTTGAACAATGTTGTACCTGCGCAATTAGGTGAGCGTGCGCCTTTTACATGTACCTCTTGTAAATCGATTAAAATCGTTAAATAAATGAGTTCCTATTTGTTCTAGCATCGGCATTATCAAACACAAATGCAGCAGCCCTTCAAGCTAGCCTTGCCGGCGCCGGTTTAGGTGCTAATCTCACCACAAGCTCACTGCTGAATTCCTCATTGACGAGTGAATTAGCATCGAACTTGAATAACTTTGGAGGCGGAGTCGGTAGCTTAAGCGGTTTACAGGCTTCTTTGGCTGGTGGACAAGGGAACAATACATTCACGCCGCGTGGATTATCCAAATTAGATAACGATATAGGATTTGGTGGTAACAATGCTTTTGGTGGCTCTAATTTCGGTGGCGGTGGTAGAGATTTCGATGGAGGATTTAACAGAGGAGATGGTGATCGTGTTTCTGGTGGCGGCGGTGGGTTTTCTGGAAACCAGGGCCAAAGCGGTGGCGGTAACCGACAGAACTCCAACGGTTCAAGACAGATGTCAGATACTATACTTATAGGCAACGTATGTACTTTTGTTTCATTATTATTATTATATTTTTTATTGTTATTTTCCTGAGATATTTAAATCGTCGGAAAAGAACTTATCCTTGGGATTTCTCCTGGGAAAAAATCTGGCACTGGGGAAAAACGTTTTTTTAACGGTGTTCCATTTTTTTTTAACCTGTTTTTAAAAGCCTCCATTTAATATAATATAAAACATAAAATATAAAATATTTCTGTGTTAAAATTTGTTTTAAAAACATTTTACAGAATAAAATGTTAAGTATAGAAATATATTAAAATGTCATTACTGGAATTTTTTTAGCACTTTTAAAACTAAGCATGGAAAACAAAATACATTAGGAATTTAAAAACAGTTATAAAAAGATGTAAACTTAAAATGAACATTTTTGTGAACATGAAAATATGCAAAATAAAAAATTAGTAGCCAGAATCAGAAAAACTTTATAAACTATTTAATTTCATTATTTACTTACTAGACAAAATAATTATTATATTATAGATATTATACAATGTAAATTGTAACTAAAGTAATGTAATTGCTTTGTTTTTGCAACATCAAATAAAGCAATTTTCCATCCGGGTTTTTTCCTTCAAGGCGTAGGAAATGTTTTTTTTTTCATTCCCGTTCGATCTTGGGTTTTTTCTCGGAATTTTCTATTTCTTTAAAATACTAATATTTTTTATTTTTTGGTTCAATATTTAATTATAATTTTTGTGTTGCAGCTACCTCCAAACACTACATGGCAGATGTTGCGTGATAAGTTCCAGGACGCCGGAGAGGTAAAATTCGCGGAAATGAGAGGTGCCGATATGGGCATGGTACGGTTTGCATCTGAATGGGATGCCGAGCGTGCTGTGAGTATCCTTTTCAAAGCGAAACAAACTTTTTAACATTTGTTAGAAAAAAAATAATTTGATCATTTTCTTCCTTTTTTTTTTTATTTCTTTGAATTATTAACTACAAGATATATAATAAAGAAAAAAAAGAGTTAATTATAATTATTATCTATTTACTAATTTTATTATATATTCTGTTTATAATTATACTTTGAAAAAATTGTGTTGTACAATTGAATTTTCCTTAATTATCACAATTAGCTATGATGAATCGATCGCGTATTGATGGCAGAACAATTGATGTGCGTCTCTACTAAGAATGGAAGGATAAGCCTCGAGGGATTCAAGGTAACGTCGATAGAAAAGATTATATTACCATAATTTGATGCTTAACCATAACTTATTGACGCAGCGTGAGGAAGCTGGGTGTTTGTGTCGTCTGCAGGATTCCACTCCTAATGACAATACTTGAAATTCATCCTAGTTATCTGGCAGAACTTAGGACAGTGAGTGAGAAGTGTCTATCTTTGGAAGATCAGCAAGTCGTGTTTATGATGGCTACTCAATGTTGTAACAGTCATATGACCACTGACGTACACTCTCCACACCCTCTCTCTTTCTCTTTATCCCCTTTCAACTCTTTTCAATTCTATATTGTTTATATATCACCAGACTATCGTTCCTTTTTACAATGGAAGTCTACTAATTGTTCACTTATATCAGTTTTTTTTTTCTAGCGATCGTGACTATAGTTGTTTTTAGGCTTAGGTTTCATGATGATCTATAAGTAAGTCAGTAGGTTTCTTTTCAGTGTGTGTAGGTTATTCATTATTTACAGGTTAATTACCGTAATTAGCGATTCTGTAGTCTGTAAGTCTGTACTTCTTAATTATCATGACGAGAGATCGATCGGTTCTCCATTTCCCGATCTAACGTGATTCTCTGCTCATTCGCAGCTGAGTCCATCAAGGGATAGAGATTAATCTTTCGTTCATGAAAATACATTTTTTAACGTTGTAAAATCGTTATTCGGTCGAATTAGATTTCCGGCTTGCGAATTATTGAAGTACACTCGTTTAAAATCTTACTTTATGCAGATCGTGGATTTTTTGTGTTGGATATTCTCGTCGCATCGTTCGCACTTATGCGTAAGAAAAAGCACATGTGGTATTTGACAGAGGACAGCGGTTTGTCGCCACGATTTCTACGCGATCACATCGTTTATTATTATTAATTTTTTTTTAATTTACCGTACTACGTACATACTGTTTTGCATCTTTATAAGAATAATTTTACGACCCTTAAATGAAGCATACAAGAAAAATTTGTTGTAGTCCGCCGCTTTTAGGAAGATCCCCTCTCAGTTTACTCAAACTCGCTTCAATACTTCGGCGAACATACATCGGACGATTTAGATTCGGCATAAATTCTGCGTTTTATGGACCGTAGTATGTTTACCAAAAAGTAAATCGAGCCTCTCGTGACATTGAATAGCGTCTTTTAATCTTTTCTGTTCCCCTACAGAAATGTACGCGGACAAGACTCGGATTGATTCCGGTACAATGGACGAATTGCATTTGGTGTCACCGAAATATTTTTTGGTAAACATAACTCTTCTCTCGCCATGTAGATCTCGAGGAATATTCTATTGTATAACACTCTTGTATAACCACCAATCCTAACAGTGATTGAATAAAATCCAAATTCATTTTGGCTATAAAAAACCTATGCTGGTCGTTGTGTTTTATTTCTGTGCTGTTGTGTGAAATTTTTATTATTTTTTTTTAAGCGATTATTCTTGTTGGTTCGGATGGATCTTGTCAAGTGAGTTTTAGTATGCGATGCAACTAAATGTTTAAATGGTACGATTAATCATAACTGTCCTGTAAACGTTGCATTTAAGCAGAATACGAGTCCATTCGTTTATTGATACGTCTTAAAATACAGATCACTCTTCAGATTATCTTCCGTACAATTGGGACGTCAATATCATCTGCGCAATGGGGAGGAAGATGCTCTTTCAAGCTCGCAGGTGAGATACTTTTTCAGATGATTTTCTTCCCTGATTTTCCGAAGACGGTTCCGGGAAGAGAGACGATTGACGATATCTGGCCCCGAGAGAGAGAGAGAGAGTGAGAGAGATTAGCATAATTACTTTTTCTGTCATTAATAGCGAGAATTTAAATATGTCTATGCGTGGTGCTGTCACGAAGTGTATTCTTCATCTCCAATAATTTTAACGATACTTTTACTGCCGATGAAATTGAGCTCGCATCGATGGACTTTTTATGGAAGTGTGACCGAGAAAGGAATAGTTAACACGAGGTTTTTGTCATCTTTAACATGGTGTAGCCGATTCTATATATAGAACTGTGAATGAAGGACAGCGAAATCTTCCATGCGCGCCAATGATTTTGTATTTATTTCCAAGTATTCACTTTGTACAACCTCCGTCGATTTGTCGTAACGGAACTTTGCGATTTTTTTCTAGATTTTTATTAATGTATTTTAATGGTAAGAACGTTCATCGACGTTTCACCTGCGATCAGCGATAAAAAAATATGCGCACGTTAGCGCATTCTTAGCGATTGATCCTCCCTTTCATTCAATGCTTGATTAAATTCCTACAAGTTGAAGAAGACGTAGCATTATCTTTTTTTTTTGTTATTGACTACATCAGGATTCTGATACATGATATAAAAGTTGTCGTTACTATTATTTATATTATTCCTCGAGAATCGGTGCTCGTGTCTTTTCGCATTAATACAGTTCCGTCGATTTTAGGGGCTAAGAAGCGTTTACTCTTTTATCATTGTGACACATTTATGCGATTCGTACAGCGCAACCGTTCAATATCTCTTACGTGAAAACTGAAAGCGTTTTTCTCTTCTCGCGAGACAGAAATAAAATTATATATACATATATATATAT